TAGTCATGGAACAAAGCATAGAATGGCAGTCAAACCTCTACCTCAACTTCATCGACTTCGAAAAGTCCTTCACAAGACAGCGTTGACCGAGAAGTAATTTGGAAACTGCCTCAACACTATGGCGTGCAATGCCCAAATCTTTATCAACCTCATTCAACAGCTGGCTATATGATAGTGGCACGTGTCAAGTGATCCACAACGAAAAACTCAGCGAGGCGTTCGAAGTGAATACAGGAGAACGATAGGGCTGGCTGCCTGCGTATTATTACCGATGACATTTTTAATTGTAGTGGACTGAGTTATGCGTCAGACTGTGCACTGGAAGTGAGAACACACGAATACGTTAGACATATAAGAATATAGTAGAAGATCTGGATTTCGCATATGATTTATAATGAATGTCACGTAAACTCAAAAACCTACAGGCGGAAATAAACAAACTGGCAGAAGAGAACAGAAACGAAAACAGGACTCCAGGTGAACATAGAGAAGAAGAAAGTGGTGAATATAACCAACCAACACCAACAGCAACAACAACTAGCACCAATCACCATCAAGGGAAGAGATTTGAATGAGGTTACTTACTTCACTTATCCAGCCAGAAAGCATGGTTTCAACCACAGGAGGAACGGATGAAGATGTCAAAGTTGGCCAGCCAGAATCGGAAAGGCAAGATATGCCTTCATGAACCTGAAACCAGTTTGGAAATCTACACTGCACTCAGCCAGCATAAAGAACAATATTCTGATTTTCAACACAAGTGTGAGCTTGGTCCTTCTATACGGGTGAGAAACTTGACCAGCGTGTCACAATTAGGATTTCCAACAGGTCGCAGACATTTATCAACAGCTGCCTTCGCTGGCTCCATACTGAAGATCAAATGGTCAGAAAGAATTAGCAGCACGAAACTCTTCAGTTGGAACAAACAAACGAAGAGCCGATTGATCAACAAATATGTAGAAGAAAATGGAGATTGATTGGGCACACGTTGAGGGGACCGTCGAATGACATCATGCTCAATGAAGACCATAGCTCGAGTGGAATCTGAATTGAAAACGATGATTGTGTTTTCCCAGGGTGACATGGGGAAGATCGTGTCTTGGGGAGGAGGTGTTTAGTAATTATGGGCAATCGTGGACCCAGCTGAAGACGACGGCAGAAAATAGAAGAAAGTGGAGATGTGTTGTTGAAGCCTTATGTCCCACTCGGAACCCAAAGGAATAATAAATAACATAATAGATAGAGGCTGGTCAATTGATGGCTTATACACAGTTATTTTATCTTGAAACAGTTTTGTAGTGTATTCGTATCAGCTAAAAACTACTAACCAGCTATTTTCAGTCTTGATAAATACCACTGACTGATATGATACTTATATGTGGAAAAATAGTGCATGTTAGCCGTTCACTGTTTCGAAACTTGGGGCATGAAAAATTTATTATTTATTTGTTATTATTTGTTTTATTCCTAAGCATCCCGACTGGAACATACGGCTTCAAGCTTGCGGTTTTTGAAGTTTCATTAGAGATAGAATTCTTTGTACGAGATGTTGCCCAACCTCTCCTCTTTGCCAGTCTCACTGCCAGCTCAGTTGTCGGCTATTCAATTCTGCACCACGTTCGTGGTTGGTAAGCATTCCACCGCTGCAGCAACATTAGCGATTTATGCGATTTAATTTAACTTAGCGATCTAAAAACACAAAATAATTGATCCAAGAATATCCCTTTCGATAATATCCTCTTCTGGCTCTACAATTATATATATATATGTTTATATACATAGAATGTTCTTAATTAGTAGTCAATAACAATGTTAACGTTTTTTAAATAATATCGATTTGTAAAGAAAGATCAATGGAATTACAGTTCATTAAAGATGCATAAATTATAATAATAATAATAATAAACATATAACAGCAAATATAACATCAACTAAAATTAGTAAAATTCCACAAAAATTGAGAATCATTCAAACCTGCATGGCCGAGGTAAGGATAATGTCTGAACTAGCTTCTTTTGGACGCACAAATTAGGCTTCTTAATGTGGATCCCAACAGCCTCAGCAATATTTAGTAGTCGAACTCTTAAGGCAAACTTGAGATTCGTAGGTACGCGGTAGATGACCCTGAAAGCATGATTAACATCAATCAGTCTTGTGTTCTGTATCCACAAGATGAGATAGAATAGCACTACGAATAGATTTTGTTTGTCCTTTACTTAACCACCACTAAGCAGGGTGATGTTTGGAAATTCGATTCATATCACTCGAATTCCGGCTGTTAAACAGATCACATAATGTAATTTGAATATATCTGATTGCCTACATAAACTGTGGTGTATTCACAACTCGAACTGTTTAATTTGTAAATGACAGGTGGAATTCTACTATCAGTCTTCATTATTTTCAAAGTATATCAGATGAGTATATAGGTGAAACTAGTAGATCGGGGGTAATCAGATTGTCGGAACATAAGAATTTAGCTAAGGTAAGAATGGTTGACCCACCCGAGAAGATAGGTAATTTAGAAAAAAGCTCAACACTACATTGCACTGCATGCATTAACACACAAACACACAATAGCATGGTGGAAGAGGGTTAAGATTCTAAGAAGTAATCTATGTAGGTGGAGAGAGAGATTGATTACTGAATCCTGGTTCATGGAATCTACACCCAACACATGCAACAGAAAAGACTCAATGCAAATACCAGAAATATGGAAGATATTATTACCACCAGTCAGTCAAATCAGAAGAGGATAATAAATAATCTCAAAATTCTATTTCAATTCACGTACATTATAACATTCTAACAAGTAACTTATTTTGACTATAAAAACACTCGTCTTATTTCCCATCTCTGAATGTACATTATCCCATATTGATTTTTATTCCAATATCTAGTCAATTTCACACATGTATATAAATGAAGGAAAAAAGTTGTGTGATTACCTTGATATGATTATGAGTAATAAATTGTGCTCGAAACTTGGTCATCAGTTAATATTACTGTACAGCACTGTGTGGTTTTATCAAAATAAAATCTTATCCATAATGGAGTTATACGCCACCACCACAGTGCCCAAGTTTTATACTTATATATGAGATGAGAAATAAGGAGTATTATTTGCTATGATGTTAAAATCTTTTTCCTTAATAATCAACGCGATATTATCAAGTGTTGATTTGCAGGGATTTGATTGGTTGCAGGACTGATCAGGTTTTCCAATAGTTCATTAACTGATGTCAGCCCATGATCAGTCCTGTCATGCGATATTAGTAAATAGAGTTGATTAAGCCGCAGACATTTCTTATGTGGCGTAGATATGTATTCTGAGCTGGTTGGTTTAGTTGCGAAGTTTTCATTGTTTCTATCTGAAAAACATCTTCAGCGCAGAATTTAATGCAGATCGATCCTTCAGACTTCTCCATACAAATATTATGATACAGAGGAAATTTATCGATCAACAGAGAGGAAGTCACATAGACAAAAGATGAACTTTCAGGTCAACAAAATAGTCAGTATCAATATAAATGTACTCAAGGATGAGAAAATCTCTAGAAACAATCGATCACATTCAAGGTTACCAAGAGGGATGACTGATAAACTCATGAAGAATACTTAAAGCCCACTTCATAGTGGAGTCTGTGGTGAAGATGTTATTTCATGAAAAAGAAAGTGAAAGCTATGCAACTGAACCATTCAGCTCAGAGAACACAACTACATTAATGTCATCGACATCAGTTATAAATATTCTCCATCATATCTAAGTTTCTTATATCAGACACAAAGCAGTTACTCTTCATTTTTTTATTCACAAAAATGCGAAAAAATGTTAGACTTTGAAGTGTTACCAAAGTTCTTTTTGCGCTTAGAATCTGAATGTAGATGAGGAAAAGACTCTGAGTACTTCTGGAAGTAGAAAAGCTTGAAAATTTGTAAATCATCAGTCTACACTCTATGGAATCAGGTCAGAAAACTGTTTTTTTTTCAATATTCAAATCATCCAGAAAAATTCGAAATATCACAAAGAATGTTTCATATCAGATGCACTTCATCTTGAATCGGAATAAAGAATTAAGACAGATTTTGACCTGGTTTCAACATTCCCCCGCTTCTCAATGTAGTAGCAAAATTCTAGGGAACCAGTTTTTTGGACTGCTTGGACGACTCCGAGCTCGTTACCGATGAGCTTCAACTAGAAATAATGCTGACGACTGTTGTGTGACCATATATCCTGCTAGACCTGAGCTTTGGCCACACTAACTGCCAACTCTTCGGCCTGGCCTACCCAACCTGGTGACTAGACTGTTCTTAGCTCCCCCACCCCAACTAGAGAAGGGAGAATATAACCCTTACGGCTATTCAAAGGTGTATTTATTAACGATAGTATGAAGAGAATACAGAGATATACAATCACGTCACAACACACAGTGGTGTGCTTGTTCCTTGAAAACCCAATTTTCTGCAGTCTAATCCAGTCAGCAACAACCAAGCCGTTAAAAGCAAAATTGCTGAAATTCAATTGAATGGACGAAATTTTTTGATCTCCCACACAAAATCAACACGAATATGATGAGCAATTTCATTGCATAAGCAAAAGTTTATGAAATCTGACAATCTGCACATGGTTTGTTATCTTTACCAGTTCATTCGCTTGACAACACAGAATTAACTCATTCTGAAAAACTATACATAAGCTAAGATTTGTAAGTTCTAGTTTAATATTACTTTGATAAGGCTGTTAGCAGCACTAAATGTCGGAAAGTCAGTAAAAACAATGTTGTATGATTTTTCAGTCATTGGGAAATATAAAAAGCTTTTTATCAAAATGAGCAAGTTTTATTATTTTCTCTTGTAACCACACTGATCATGTTGTCTACGCTGACTTCAGAACGTTCATATTCTATACTTTGATTCCCAGAAAAATTTCAAAGTATATATTTAACACTTAAATTTGATATTTTCTTCTTTGAATATATTATTCCCTTATTAACTTACAGAATAAGAACCAAGCGCTTAACTCAAGACAAATGTCAGGTAAACTGTTGATTGGTCAAATGAATCTCAGTCTTCTACTCCCATCTGCTCCTCCTTCTTCTTCATCTTCATTATCATCAGTATCAAAGATGAACAATTTCAAGGCATCCAGTACCTATTTTACTCCAATCCGTAAACCATGGTATTATGAAATTATTTTAACTAATCTGATTGTCGGCGACATGAGTTTAGTGGTGAACTGTAAAGAAGTAAGTTTAGTAAGACTTTTTCTTAAATGTTCAATAATTTCAGCCAAATCATTTCATAATTTCAAGTTTAATGATGGACTGAGATCACTTACAAAACCATTGAAAGCCAAGGGGTACTGAAGAGATGTTCCGTCTTTGTTTGGGACTCCTCAGTAGCACGCATCCGTGGCTCTAGCACCAGTGATCGAACCCATGACCTTCAGATTACAAGGCGAGCTTGTTGACCACTCAGCCATTGTGACGGAATCCAGTGGCCCATCAATTCACAATATATAATGCAACCACCAGCCAGTGTCATCAGTGGGTACTTGTTCTCACATCCTGACTTTGTTTATTTCCCTAGATATGATTCCCCACTTAAACTTCAGGCAATTTCATCTTCTAGAAAGTCATTAGTGGGCGGTAGAATGCTCTCCAACTAGGCAAGCCCTCAGGGATTCGATTCCAGGCCATCCCATTCCTAGACCTCACTAAGCCGACTTTAAGCCCGGTAAAGCAGAAAGGTTTCGCGTGAGGCTAAATTTAAAAGCTGAAACTTCAAGTCCTATGTTCCATAAAGAACGCGGAGGAGCAGAATTTAGAAAAATAAAAGAAAGAATAATTTTCAGGTATTCATCTGTAGGGATTTCGTTGAAGATTGACGACTGTTCTAGGTAACTGATGCCAGAAAGTGATAAAATCCCTAGAAAACCACTGGAAATTAAGGAGAATTGGAAAAATTGTTTCGTCCTAGTTAGGAACTTCATGGAAATACCGTCTCACAATATAAAATGATACCAAACTGTTGGATCCTAGCATATCATGGGAGCAAGCAAATTACCATTCTGTGATTTATAAACTTTCAGTACACCGACTTTATAAATATTTAGGAACTTTTTGAACATAGAATCTAACTGAACACCTCGCTTTTAATATTCTAAACATCCTAAGGTTGTTTTAAATAATTGTACGATTCACTCACATAGCCTAAAATATCTCCAACTTATTGTATAGAGCACACCGGTGTTTCATTATTAGAATGATCACCCATCAGCACATTTCCCGAGGTTCGACCCCCGACTTATGCACTTCTAAACCTCACCTAAACATAAGTCAGCCTGGAAAAGAGGGAGATTGGGTTGTGAGGTTAGCAACCTCATCCCTTAAAAAAGAAACACCATCTCCACTTAAAGTTAGTTCAAATGTCAATACTTGAAACCTTATGTTCTGTACAGGAAGCAAGAAATAATAATGCAAAAATGGTAAAGGGAAACTGTTAAGCACATTAAGTAAGGCGTTATTTTTTTATTCTCATTATCAACGGACACAAATAATTTAGAGCTGGAAGAAATTAGTCTGCATAACAATATTACTCATACTTTCAGTTAGTAGTAATTAACAGTTATTGACATATTTTCATTGTTGTATCTACAATATTAGTTAATTGGTTACAGGATTTCATCATGAGCTGACATTGGTTAGAGAACCATTGGAAAACCTGGGAGTTAATATCAGAAATAGAGAAATTTGACATATCACAGGTTTCCATCAAGGAATAGTTTTATTTGATAGAACACAGTGATACAGTATTATTTATCGATGACCTTTCGTACACATTCTATTACTCATAATCATATCAAGCTACTCACATGACTCACATAGCTGTATAGGCTAAATAACCCTTTTTGACACAGTTAGACAAAATAATTTTAACTACAAAATACCTTACAATGACTGTGACGTTTTTGATTGGACACTAGTAACTAGTGTGATGTGTTTAGTCCTTTCTTTGGTGCAGACTGAATTCTATCAGTCAGATTTGTAATGTGGCTACCATTCTAGGTAGCTCGCCATCACGGTACAAACATTGATTTGATGATATTAGATGGTTGGAGGCAATCGGTAGGAAGTCCTGCTTGACCTAGGTTTCGTGCTAGTTGGTTCTCCTCAGCAAGGCGTATCTGCTCAGTGGTAACCTCTCTAACTGCAGTACTCACTGGGTGATGCGGGTTCGAATCTCATAAGGGACATGAGTTCCTTCAAGGTTGCAGATACGCCTTGCTGACTGGTGAGTGGTAACTAGCACGAAACCTAGGTCAAGCAAGGCTTCCTGTGGCCAACTGCCTCCAACCATCTAATATCATCAAGACTGTAACGTTTACCAAGTGTCTCAAATGAGGACCTTAGAAAACATGAATAGGTTAGAGGGAAGTTCAGCAGTTGCAATGAATGTGCTAACACACACTCACACAATGGAGTATGACGGAGTTAGAGTTCTATGAAGTAATATAGGCGGATGGAGAGAGAGAGGTTGATCACCGAATCTTTGTTCATCGAATCAATACCTAACATGTGTCATAGGAATAACGCAACACGAAAATACCATAGATATGAATCAAAAGATGAGAAATAATGGAATTATATAAACAAAGTTTGTAAATTGTGTGTTTGTGTGTGCCTTAATATGATTACGAGAAATAAACTGCTCTCAATACGTCATCCGTAAATAATATTGTATCACTGTGTGTTTTATCTAATTTGATTATTCTAAGCTGGAATTATAGTTTACCAATAGTGGCCGAATTAAATTCTTATAGAACTGTGATATACAGTGGTTTTGTGAATTCTTAGAGAACGGAAAGATTTTAATTCAAATTTTCTGATTACACAATAAGCTTTATGACTCTTTGTTCAGAGTGGGAGTATTAACGCAAACAGAATTTTTTCAAAAGAAAGGATACTGAACAAAGAGTACTCTTTTCAATAACTTCATCATCAGGTTCTACAGTTATATATACATTATACTCAATGAATGAATTAGTGTTATGAACAACATTAATGTTGTTTAAATAACCGCGGATCAATAATAATATCAATAGATTACAGCTCAATGGCATCAGCACAACAATAAACTGAATGTCAGAAAAATTAGGAGAGATAATAATACAAATTCGTGAATTTATAGTCTCTACTGAAGACCACGACAGTAGTAGGGGCTGAACTTGCTTCTTTTGAACACAGAGCACTGGTTGTTTGAGGCGAATTGCAATAGCCTCTGCTGTTTGTAGTATGAGATGCTTCGATGATTTTGGCAATTTATTAGGCACCCGGTAGATGATAGAGAAGGATTCTTCAATGCTGGCTGGCTTTGTGGCCGGTTTGCACCAGATGGTCCAATATCGAACTGTTAATGGTTTTCACTACACCTTTACTTAGCCATAGTGGGATATGTTCTCGAGCAAGAAAAATCAAGTTCATAGAGCAACGACCAATATAACTCACTCCACAAGCGCAGTCGAATTGATAGATACAATTTGAAGTGGCTAGTCTAGGTACTTCATCTTTCATTTGAGGAACCACCATCGGTCGTGTAGAAAATAAGACGTGTTGTTTGCCAGCATTGAAAGTTCTTTGAACTGATTTTCTTAATTTCTTCGTAATTATCTCACTTGGTATATCGCCCTTGAATTGTAGTCGTATATAAAGTGGCTTCTTGTTTACAGATAGTGAGTAGTCCTTTTCCGCTTTCTTTGTCATGTGTTTCTTGATAAATTTTTCGGGATAGCTATTTTCGATCAAAGTATCATATACAATGCTTAATTCATCTTCAATTACTTCTTCTGAGCATATAGCTCTAACTGTGTGGCTGAGGGTCTTCATTAAATTTCGTTTGTACTTGATAGGAACGAAGCTGTGAAAATGTGTATAATGTCCTGTCCAGAATTGATGTATACTTTAGGATCTTTGAGTTTAAACGTATTGATTTAAAACCACTATTATTTGATATGTAAAACTCAGGCACTGCGGAAGTATGTAATTCTATAATTATTGGTTTATTGAATATATCTATCACCCTACAATGATTGTCAAGTCAGATGCATAAGTCAATATAGTAGGTCAGAATCAATTAGATTAACACAGCACAAAATCCTAGTCGAATTAAGACTAGCATACACTTTTTAAGTTAGAAATCTAGAAAAAAAAACCTCAGATTTATCACGACATACACTTACGCGCCACTGTCTAATTGGATAGGATAAAGTGACAATCTAGGAGGTCTACGGAGAGACTGATAACAGAACCTTTATTTAACCAATCAAGTGAGAATACATGCAATAGGAATGATTCGAATATCTGTCCTGGACATCAGGAGAATTCCACTACTCTTACGACAAATGGGAAGGGAGAATGAGAACTATACAAATCAAGTTTCGAAAATGTGTAGTTACAGTTGGCGATATAATTATGAATAATAAAATCTAGGCTAACTAATTCATATGCAATGAAAAGGAAACTAAAAAACATTCAATTAGAGAATAATGAAAAAAAGGTTAGTTATGATATAACTAGTCTTTATACTACTATACCAATCAATATGACCTTAGACGCAGTTGAAAGGGAACTAAATTCTGATCCCAAACTTAGTCACAGAACACAGCTGCCCATTGAGGAAATTACTTTACGAATTCAGTTATGCCTTACGTCTACTGTCTTTAAATTCCAGGACAAAATATATAAAGAAACAGATGGTGTAGCAATAGGATCACCAATATCCCCTATCGTAGCAGATATCTTTATGGATAGCTGGGAAAATATTGCTCTTAATACATTTAATCCTACTCCAAAAATATGGTGGAGATATGTGGATGACACTTTCACAGTGTTAAAAACAGAACATATCTCTAGCTTCTTGACGCATATAAACTCACCAGTAAAGGGAATAAAATTCACATTTGAATCAGAAAATGAAAAAGGAGAATCAGCCGCGATATTAGATTGTAAAATAAAATGAACAGAAGGAGGCAAACTAAACACTAACCTTTATGAAATAGCCAACGCATTCTAATAGATATTAAGATTTTAATTCGTCTCATCCGTTCGTTATCAGTACAGGCAGGCTTAGTTAAGTGCTGTCTAACAAACTGAGCAATAGCACTAAATAGCACAAAAGAAGACATAAATGATGAAATGAAACAGATAGAAGAAGAAGTGTTGGTGTTAAATAACTATCTTATAAAATTCATTAGGAGAATCAAAAATGGTCAAAAGCAAAATAAAAATAATGGTGAAACTAATATTGATAACATAAATAAGAGAGAATATAAGGCATCTACAGCCTTACCATATGAGGAGGAGACATCTGAGATCCTCCCTATGTAGGATTCTCAACAAAGCAGGAATTAGACTGGCAGTCAAATCTACAAACTCACTCAGGTAGGACAAGCTCTGTAGGCTAAAGGACACTGTCGGTGGACCCAATTAAACAAAATAATATAATTTACAAAATACCTTGCAATGACTGTGAGTTAAGTCAACCACATACGTCAGTCAAACTAGTAGATGGGGGAGGGGGAGTAGTGAGATTACCTGTCAGAACATAAGAATTGAGCTAAGTTTAGAATGATTGACCCCACCAGCGAAGATAAGTGATTTCGACAAAAACTTAACAATCGCCCTGCATGCATTAACAGACAACCACACAATAGGGTAGGTGGGACAAAGTCGAAATTCTAAAGAGTAATATAGGTAAGTAGGTGGAGAGAGACAGAGAGAGATTGATTACTGAATCCTGCCTTGTCCACTGTGTCTACACAACACACGCAATAGAAATGTCTCAACGCAAATACCAGAGATATGGAAGATATTATTACCACCAGTCAAATCAGGTGAGGATAATAAATAATGTCAAAGTGTATTCAATTCACATTATAACATTCTAACAAGTAGTTTATTTATTTTACTATGATAACATCTTATTTCCCATCTGATTGCATTTTATAGATAACACTAATACTGTTTCCGAATGTACTTTATCCTATGTTGATTCTATTCAAATGTTTAATCATCAATTTTTACTCATGTACATAAATGAAGTAAAACGTTGTGTGGGTGACTTGATATGATTATGAGCGGCAATAAATTGTGCTCGAAATGTGGTCATCAGTAAATATTACTGTATAACAAGACTGTGTGATTTTATCAAAATAAAATTTATCCATAATGGAGTTTTACTCTACCACAGTGCCCATGTTTTATACTTATAACAATAAATTATGTTCGAAACTTTGTCATTCAGTAAATAATACTCTTCCAGTGTGTGATGATATATCCAAATGAAACCAATATGATATTTTTTTGACAATCTTTTTATCTTTTTTTTCTAGCTGAATGTCGACAAAACAATAATTGATAGTGGAACAACGAATATATATTTACCAAGGAATATTTTTCACCGATTAGTCAGTGTTATGAAAGCAAAGGTGAATGAAAATCCTGCACTGGCTGAACTTGCTTCTAAAACTTCATTTTGGCATGGTAAAAGAGCATACTGTTTACGTGTAACCAGTGAAGACAGTAAAGCACTACTGTATAAATCGTTTCCACAAATTGAATTCCATCTGGTTTCAAGTATAAATACAACGAATCAGATACTTTCATTAACTTTCTCTCCACAAGTAAGCTATTAGTTCCTATTTGGATGATTTTATTATTAATGTGTTGTGACAAACGGTGTGTTGTATTCAAATGAACTGTCGTCAAGATTTGACAGAATAGTTCTAAAATATTTAGGCGCCGAGTGAGAAGTAGACATTTGTAAAAAATTATATTTGTAAAGTCTCAGCGAGATTGAAATGAGTAATTCCAACGTTTCGTTCGGCAATCTGGTCCGAACTTCTTCAGGGAAATTAATCGAAATTAACATAACAGAGGTTTATATATAAAAGTAATTACTCATTTCAATCTCGCTGAGATTTTACAAATATAATTTTTTACAAATGTCTACTTCTCACTCGGCGCCCAAATATTTTAGAACTATTCTGTCAAATCTTGACAACAGTTCATCTGAATTATTTTGCAATCGAATTAAATTAACAAAGAAACTGTGTAACTGGCACAATCATCGTGTTTTCACTCTCCGTTGTCTGCAACACAATGCATATCCTAAATCCGTAGCTGTCGAGTGACCTGACAACTCCAGTAGGTCGAATAAAGCAGCTCAATCTTCAGAAAGAAGACAAAGCAATAAGTCCCACAAGGTGCTTCTACTAAACTCTAATTCTAAACACCATTATTTTGAAAATACGTCTAATCATAAAATTCTAGATACTAACAGTGTGAACAGATATGAAGGCGTGATGTTAGCTGATGCATAGGAAATCCTTATTAATAAATAAAAAATGGATATGTATCACTAATTAATAATACTTAGTCGAAATTCCTGACTGTCTATATCTTCTTATGGAGACGTTAAGAAATGTTTTACAACTGTTTACCCACACATGCATGCACACTCTTTTTAAAGTGTTTAACAAAGGTAGACCAATATTTGTAAGTCCGAGGTCAAATTTTGATCACAGCTCATACAATTTTGTTGATTATACTTGTTGAATGACTCATGATTGGACAATGTTTTTAAAAACAAAAGATGTTTCTTTTATATATAAACCTCTGTTATGTTAATTTTGATTAATTTCCCTGAAGAAGTTCGGACCAGATGGCCGAACGAAATGTTGGAAATACGTATTTCAATCTCGTTGAGATTTTACAAATATAATTTTTCACAAAGGTGTGTTGTATAATTTAACGATTAAAAGTGTATGTGACATAACAAAAAAGGGAGATTGGAATTCTGTAATCTTGTTTGAAATCATGATCATATTCCTAGCTGAAATGTTCACGAGAAGTTGAAGACGGTTAACACGGAAAATAAAAGTTGTCACGCGTAAGACTGTGATGATTTGTTTGATTCTAAGTAAAATGTTTTGTTATAAACCGACATTAGTCAGACAACCATTAGAAACCAAGGAGAAGCTCTGAGCAGTTACTTCTTCCTATTGTGAAACCCTTCTGTTAATCACAACTAGTACCTTGAAATGAATCGATTCTTTACAATCTAACTTTCATCAGGGACTAATTAGGGGATGGACTCCCTAGAACAAGGACAGATATTCCTCAGTGGTATTAGATGGCAATGGCGCTATATCACGAAATGACGGAACTTAAAATTAAATTCCAACACGGTGGCTGTACGATAAATTATAACTTGAAGGTATTTGATTTTGAAGAGAGAAAGAACGAACATGTTTGCAGGATAATACGAGCTCGTTTTATTTCGTGGATTCTCACCAACTGCATACATCCTAAACAAAATCAAATTATAGGTTTCAAGAAAGTTGTGGAACATTCTTTTTCGAATTACTTTGAGTTATAGATAGAACGCATAAGGAACATAATTCCAGAATTTGATGTAGGTAGACAGGTTATTCGGTGTCAAAAACAACCAATTATATATAGTGGAATTAGATAAGAGGGATAAGAGTTCAGATTTCTATTGGAAAACAGAGTAGTTAGAGGCATATTACAGGGTCAGGGTCAGAGAACAGAGTGAATTTACACATCTTGTGGTGGAGATTTTTAAGAGGGTGGGGGTGAATAGTGAAGTAACATTTTTAACTTAAACAGACAAACAATTAAGTAGATTTGGAAACTTGAAGGTCAAAATTGAATAGAATGTTACGTAACAAGACAAACACACAGGCATACTGACAGAAAGGCAAAACAAAAATAAAATAGAGTTAGGGTTACCAAGGTAGTGAAAGATTAATCACACTATCTTTCTGTATACAAAGGTCTGGTCGAAATCTCTTGATAGCAATGGCTTCTGCGAAGCGAAGTAGCCGTGGGTTTCATGGTGTATTGATTATTTTGAAGGCTTGGCTAATTTCTATTGTGTGTCCTGTGTCAATTAAATGTCTGGCGATTGCACTCGATAACATTTTTCTTCCTTTTACATGGAGACTCTTAGGAATGTGCTCAGAAAATCTAGTAGATGCTGTCCTCTCAGTCCTTCCTATGAACTTGCTTCCGCAGGTGCACGTATTTGGTTTTATCCCCACTGTAGGTGCTGGTGTGCACTAACGAATAATTTCAAACTAGGACTCTGGTTTTCACCAGTTCATCAGCTGATATCCTTCGTAACAGACATTTCATTGAAAGAAAACTGTGAATGTATAGATGTTTTAATTATCGGAAAACTAGGGGAAAACTTTGAAAGAGTAAATTGTCATGGAAGACCAAATAAGCAGTAGGTAGTTGCATGGAGGCAAATTCAAGTAGGTAAATCAATCACTGAGAACCATAAAAGTCACTTTCATGAAGATTACGTCTAAAAAGCTTAAAAATCCCCATTGAGTCATATGAAAAAGAGAAGACGTTCAGCGAAGAGACTCTTTTCGGCGAATTCATTCACATAGCTGTACAATCGCATTTATATACAATTATTTGTGTGTGCGTGTGTACATTAGGTTTGTCGAGTTTAAATAATTGATCATGTAATGTAAGAATGATCTAATATAGAAACAAGGTTAATTAGACAGCAACTAAAGTAAGATTGAGTTAGTAAGTTAGATGACGCAATATAATTGACTAAAATGTCTCAACTTAGGTTAGGATAGCATCACAGGTAATTACAGGTAGAGACTAAGTACAGGTAGGGTGGAGAATAACGCCATCTAAATTAGAACTAAAATTGAGCAAATAAATTGGATGACGCAACATAAATGACTAGAAATTGAGCGTTGGTCAAGTCAGTAACAATGGTAATGAGGTGTAGAAATTAAATCGGATCAGGGTAGAGAACAGGAAAGTTGAAAGTGTAAAGTATTCTCTATGAGTGTAAAATATTACAATTAAAAAGACAAAATAATACTGATGAAGAGACAGAAAGAAAGAAATAGAATTTACCTGTCGAGTATTAAGACAGATTACGTCTATTGTAGGTGTAGTGATTGAACGAACTTCATCTGTATGCAGAGTTCAGGGCTTAGCAAGTGAATCGCCATTGCTTCTGCAGTTTGAAGAAGTTTGACTCGTACACTTTTAGGAAGACTACTTCGTATTCTGTAGACGATTTTGAAGTTTGTTTGGGGTGTAGCTTGTTGTCCGGAATCTATCAGATGTTCTAAGATAGAGCTGCGGGAGCATCGTTTTTATCCACTGTAAAATCATGCTGATAAGTGTACGTCTAAATAACTGTTCAAATACCTTAGGAAAACCACCATGCTCAACAGTTTACCGGTTAGTATTGAAAATGAAAGTGCAACATTCTCTGATGGTGACTAACACTGGAATCCAGGATGCCCATTTCGTCAGCTGAAGGTGGCCGAATCCTCACTGGGTAGTGTTGTACCCATTGAGAATTAAACCCATCTTGCTAAACACTGAAGCGTTATCCTAGTAGCCAAGCATCTGTATTAGGAGCCGACATGTTGACAGAAACCGAGAATTTCGGTCTAAAATAATCAGTCAACAAAGAATGCCAGTTAACTTAAACAATAATGACCAAAGCTGTATTCTGTATGATGACAGCTTTTATGTTTATTATTTTGGATATTAGCAAGAGTTAGTTATGATGTTGTAGACTCAATTAAACCTAACGATTGTGTTATTCTTACAGTTGACTCGTAAGGGGATTAACATATTTTGGGATTGTATGTATTATCAGTACATTAAAATAGCTGGTATACTAATATAATAGTATTAATGTATTTTTTACAGAATCAGCAATTCATAAAAACCGTTTGTGCTAATTATAAAAGTGAGTGGTTCTTATAATCTATTATTATTATTGCTCCCTTGGGTTCCTAGTGGAACATAGGGCTTCAACTACACGTTCCCACTTGATTCTGTCTTCTCCTGTACTTTTCACCTGCATCCATGTTAGTCCACACTGTTTCAACTCTTCTTCACACGATCTCCTCCATGTCACCCTTGGACGTCCCACTCGCCGCTTCCCTTTCGGGTTCCACTCGAGCTATGGCCTGACGCTCGATGTCACCCAGCGGCCTCCTCAGCGAGTGTCCAATCCATCTCCACTTTCTCCTGCATATTTGTTGGGCGATTGGTTCTCGTTTCGTTTGTTCCCATAGTTTCTTATTGGTGATTCTTTCCGGCCATATGATCTTCAGTATAGAACGAAGACAGTTGTTGTTGATAAAGGTCTGCAACAAGCTGTTGGAAATATTCTTTGTGACCCGCCAACCTTCTGATCCGTACAGGAGAACTGACTTGACTTTTGTATTGAAAATCCGAATTGTGTTGTTGATGCTGAGTTGAGTGACGAAGATTTACAGATTGGTTTCAGGTTGATGAATGTGTTTCTCGCCTTCCCGATTCTCGAGCTAGTGAGCTAGTAATCTAGGCGAGGTTGCTGGTATACTTTAGATTGATTTAAACACTGTTAAAGTTGGGATTGAATAGATACGGGTACTTTTTAGTGCCTTGATTCCGGGTGTTGATAGAACAATCAGGTATTATTTTGATCTCAGTTGAAATACCACTGACTGGTACTAAGCGGTAAACAACTACTCTTATGAGATAGTAGTATATACTGTCTGTACACTGGTTTACACATTTTAACTTAATTTCTTATCATTAACTCAATACAATTGTAATT